CCTCTTCTCTCGCACATACTGCATATGCCGCTTCTTTATTTTGGTAGCAGCAGTAAGTCCCTCCTGATCCTGGAAATCGACAAATAATTGCAAATAACTCCATTGAATTAATTTCACATCCTTGGTTTTCAAAATCTTCTGATCACCAAGACAATTGCGAACTAATTTTATCATGTGGCATATGTCCAGAAAAACATATACCTTTTCTTTTGAAATTGGATGTTCAAAATAAGTTTTTAAATTGTTGGCATTCTCCGATGCCAACCCCTAGTTTTTTTACCATTGAGATGTTGCATGCAGCTCCATCAAATGAGAGAAATTATTTTTATTCCTGTTTCATGAAGTAGTTCTAAGCAATTGTGAACTAAACTGCTCTTTCACTGCCAGATAAACCATCGATGCAAAAATATCCTACTGGTATTTTCCAGTTACCAAAAAAACCAATACTTCTTTTGCTTCCGGTACACTGTCTCGCTCCAAATACCCTTCTCCATTTCACATAGGTTGGCCTTTTCTCCAGGATGTGTCAAGACCAGCTTGTATAATTTGTGTTCCCTTCTTGCGACTGCTAGCACCTCTCCATTTTTCTCTATAATTCCTTTGCCTTTTTCGAAAGTAACGACATAGCCATTTCGCTCTAAAACTGAAACAGACAGTAAATGAAATTTCAGTCCTGGGACATACAGGACATTCAGGATAGTGATCCTGTTTACTTTCCCATCCACAACAGATTCAACATGGAGGTTTCCTCTTTTTGTTGCTGTAAGAATTGATCCTGTTTTGGCGCTTTTTATACAAGTGTTATGGTCAAGTTGTTTGGCATTCTGCAAAAATTTATCAACGCTTACCAAATGCTCAGAAGCACCAGAATCCAGGTACCTGTGTATAGTTTCAGTTTTAGCTCTTCCATCGAAAAAACTAAATTATCCTTCCTCTCCCCCCCCCCCCCCCGAGTCAGCTGCAACGTGTGCCTCCTTCTGGAACTTGCTCGAGTCCTTTGGTGGCTTCCTGCATTAACGTCCATATCTACGACAGTTGTGGCACCGATAGTTCTTTCTGCCAAAATTCCTCTTGAATTGTTTGAAGTACCCCTTCAACGAATTCCACTTCTCGAGTCCGGGCGATTGAGCTGAGAATGCGTTGGACGATGAGGACTCTCCTTCATGTCAAACACCCAACCTCTTCGCTTGCTCATCCAGGAGTCGATTTTTGACGAAGCTCAACTTCAGGCATTGTAAGCAGAAGGTGGCACCCCACATCAGTTTCCTCTAGATTTGCTCTGGTAGACTTGAGATCTCTAATCAATTTATCGAGTCTCAAGAAATGAGACTCCATGGATTCATTACTCGAATTCAATTTCATGGTTAGCAAAGTTTTTCGAATTAATAATTGGCTAGCTATAAAGTGGGCTCTAAATATATTCAAGACACTCCAGCTCGTCCAAGTGCGTCTCCACCCGAAACTTCCAATTATCATAATTGGTTCCATTGAACAATGGAATTTTGTATCGATTCCTCAGCCTTAACCTCACTTTAATTTTCGTGTTCAATTTTTGTTTAAAACGGGCTTTAAACCAATCCTGGGCCCATAACCTATTAAAGTGCACTGTTTTTGCGTGTTCAAGGTTAGGTGAGTTAATTAATACCCGCGAGATTGCCAAAAAAACTTGATTTATTCCATCAGTAAACAGACACGTATAACTGTGTGAACTTCTCAAATGTGTAGTACAGTTTGAATGTTATGAAGTCACTTAAACTGCAAGTGATTGCCATTTCAACATTAGTCTATGACACAATTCATATTAATGGCATTAGTTTTTGTAGAAAAATAGCGCTGGTAAGAATACACATGTAATTTATTCAACATTGAAAAATACGAGTACATCTTGATGTTTATATTTACATGGTTCTAAACGAAGTCACTAATTTTCCATAGTTTATTAAGCCAGGGAAACTCGCTGACAATAAGCGGGAATGCGCGAAGTGGGGGTGCGCGCTGGCTGCAATGATGCCCTTAAACTAGTTTTTCTTCAATTTGTGTCTAACAGATAATACAAGTTGGGGCTTGTTTAATCTCCACGTTTGGGAACCCCTGTCTTACGCATACGAATGGACCTCCTGTGTATTACCAATTGAATTGGTTTGCTTGTTGAAATTTAATTTCGAAAGATGGTTGACGCATTTGATTCAGGAACGAATCGTGCTTCAGGTTTACTTTGATTTATTCACTTATTCACAGTAATAAATTACAGTTGTTCTGCAATGTATAAACGTCAAAAATGTACCCTTGTAACTTAAGGTTTTAATAGCAAATAAAAGCTCGAATTAATTGTCTTTAACCTTTTTACTGGTAGCCGTTTTGTTCGTGAATTTATTGCACTACATATAAAAAAATTGGATGCACAAAAAGACAGTATGAAATCACTTTAAAGACAGTTTCACAGTTAATAAGTAGAATCTGCAGAATACTATATATCTAAAATAAGTACTAATTTTCTTTTGTTTACACTGCTGTTAAATTTATGTGAAGGTGGGTTGCATAACTGTCAGGTATTATATACTAGTTTAATAAAGAACGTTTACAGCGGAAATAGTTACTTACTCTAGTACGCGATACTTGTTTTCCGCGCATTTTAATGAGCGTCCCATTCCGTCTGTCAAAACCTATTTCAATTTTTTAGGAAATTTCCATGGCTTAACATGATTTTGGTAATTGGATTTATTGCCGAATTTTTGATAAAATAATGAGAAATACACCTAAACATGAACTAATTCGTAAGTCATTCGATGAGAAAAAATCTTTTTTCGATGTGTGTTAAAAACTCTCAATTAACATGTGGAGCAACGATCTCCAAAAAACCCATGTTAATTGCCTATGTACAGTTTTTATATATTCACCCGGTATGTACATACTTCAGTATTGACTGTCTTAACTATAAGCTGTATAATTTAGCGTATGATATATTATTTCAATACTATGTGGAGATTACTTATTCAATGATGATAGTCAGGAGAATGGTGTTAGTTTAGAAATTCTTTGCTCACCGTTGGTTTGCTCCTCTATATCTCAATTAACGAAATTTTCAATTAGTGTAAAAACTGGAGGACTTGACAACGCAATTAAAAGGTTGACTAACGCGTGTGCAAGCACATTCATATAGACCTCTGTAGAAGTATAGCCATATTTGGCATTAATGTGTCGAAAGTCACTCATGAAAAAGGGGTACAAAAAGAGGGTATTATCGGTCGGCCAATTACTATGTAAAAAACATTGGCGGATGTTGAGTGTAATTATAATAGATAAATATTTTTGTTAATACTATACAGAATGTACCAGTGGATATGTTACAGTAAAAGTACATAATTGGTGATTGTAGTCACTGGTAAATGTACGAAATTATTCTCAATTATCTACTTTTACAGGTAATTGTATACAATAACCAAGGATCAGCGATAAAAGTAAGAAAATGATATCAAAAGAAGAAATAATAACAATAAATTCAAATAGTTTTTTTTAAGAAGTGTAATTTTTATTATTATTGTTTTTTTAACCTAAAAACGAGGTTTTTTGCCTGAATCAATAACAAGAGGCAAATTTTGTATGGCATTTGTCCTATTTGTTTTGACATGACAAACTCTCATGGCACTTACACAGCTTTCCATTCTTTTTACATTTACACTTGTCTGTTTTACTTTAGTTTTGCAAACACATCGCTGATAGCCTTGCCCACCCGACAATGAAGTTTTTCTAACATACTCGCGCAATGAAATGTTAAGATTTGGAACCAAAGCTCCAAAGGCACAAAATATATCAAGAAGAACACTTGCAACTTCTTCTGCACGTTTAGTTGTCAACGGCCGTAACTGATCAAACTTCGTTAAATGATCTTGATAGACACAAATGAATTTGAAATCATTATCTGCTTGAGCTTGCATATCAATTAAATCTATTTGACATCTACTATTCATTTCTTTTGACAGTATAGGTTTGACTACTAAACCCTTTTTGGGAACTTTGGATTTTTTCTGACAAGTTTTACACAAATTTAAATAGATCATTATGCTTTCTGTAGTAATGTTTTTGTACTTCTTTTGTAATTCCTTCAACATTCTTGTACTACCTCCATGTCCAATAGATGTATGTGCTCCGTCAATCAATCCGAAGAGTTCTTCCTTATGAACATAATACAGAACATTCTGTACATCTTTACTCAGGGGGCAAATTTAGTTTTTCAGTTTTCCCAACCTTCATGACATCATACTTTTTCAACAGCCTGTAGTCATCTGGTAACTTATTACTGGTTTTAGATTTACTTACATTTACACTGTTTATTAACATTTGGTACTTTTCTCTTGTAAGCAAAACCGTATTGTGCTTTTATTCCCTATCACTTCAAGTACTTTGGTATTAAAACGCTCTTCCATTGTTAAATCACAAATAATCAGTTCCAGAATAATGTAATCGACAGTGCACAAAACGGAAAACGTAGGTAAACAAAACAATTCAAAGATAACTTTAATGTTCACTAAATAACACAAAGATAACGGCTCCTTAAAAACAGATACAAACACTTCCGAAGAATCAACACTGCAGACTAATAATAGGATCACACATGCACGTAGTAAACAAACGCACTGCGCCTGCGTGTGGATCCTGGAAAGTTGAATTTCTTAATTTCACCAAGCTCCTGTAGCGATTGTATACAATTACTGGTAAAAGTTGGAAATAGAGGGTTTTTTAAGATTATTTTCTACTTTTACCAAAGACTGAAAGTTATTTTCAATTGCGACCAATAAGCATTTTACCAATTCTTTCTAAAATTTTAGAAGAGATTATGGCATCTCATAAAATACCATCTCTCCCATAATCATATATTATGACAGTCACAATCTAATGAAAAATGTCCTTGGTCCAAATAGGGCAAATGTGGTATCTTTAATAAAGGATAAAATTTCAAAGTGTCCATAATGTTTTGTTTACCATGTGCATATTTATTCCAGTAATGCGTCTTGGCAAGAAGAAAGAAAAAGAACGAGAACCTGAGGCGCGAAGTCAGTTTGTGGAAGGCATATCCAGATTGATTTGCTCAGCTCGTGCATCTCATTCTCCTCCTATGCGCGGTATGTATAGTGTCATTTTGGATTGCTACAATTTGATAATTCCATACTTTTAGTGTTCATTGATGGAGCCGAGTGGAGTGGTGTTAAATTTTTCCAGTTGAGTTCTACGTGGCAAACTCACATAAAACACTTAACTGTTGCTTTGGTTGGCGCGCCCATAGCCGGTACGGAGCTCTCCTAACGTAGAGTAGTGAATTCGCAGCGCTTATAAACGTATATTTAAACTTCGATCTGAATTTTCCTCCAAAACTGGATAATGTCAAAATGTTTGCAATCTAATTTGTGATATTTCTTTTAACCACTAACTAAAATACGGCTGTTACATTTTGATATGATATACGCCTTTTTTCTATTAGGATAATAAGAAGTGTTTATAAAATTGAGAGTGAAGCAAAACCAAAGTTTTTTATGCACTAAGAATTATATTTTCGATGTAGATTATCTTAGCGAAACGCTGTAATGTAAGATATTGGAGGAAAATCAGTTGCAATTTTGTGTGATGTAGCTTGTAGATTATTATTAATGTGCAAATCATAAATTGTATGTAATTGTTAATTAAGCAATCGACAAAATTGCTGTCCCAAGTTAACTGCATACGTAGTACTAGTACCAGTATATAAAGATGTTTTTCGTGTATCGAGGTGAAGGCAGACAGTTATTTAATGGAAAGTTGCTGACCGGTTGACAATACTTGTCATGGCTCAATATATTTTATTAGTAGCTTATTAGTAAAAGACTGCAACCCAAACTTGCGTTTGTATCAATAAAAATAAATACTCTACATGTGATATCGTAGACTTCAAAATTGAGTTAGGTTAGTCGAGGTATTGATTTATTAATTATATGAATGTTAATGATTGTTGTGTAGATATACCAAACAATGCACATTAACTACAAGAAGACATTATTGTTGTAGTTCTAGTCATAAATATACATGCTTCGATGACATATAGTATAGAGACAAATGCTTAACTATTAGTACCTAATAGATAAATGAATAGTATCAGTATATTTATTATTTGTACTTGGAATGTTGGATTTTAAGCATATATGTATAGTTTAAAATCGCTTATTCTGATATACACTTTGTTTTAATATGTACTTTATTTATTTGTTGCTCTTCTCCAAGGAATGTAGTAAGCAATAAATAATCTTTTTGTAAGATAATATACAATGCTTTCCAATTGTATATAACTCCAAACGTTTATTGTAACTTTCATTGTTTATTTAAATAGCGGTCTGTTTTTGAATTCCAATTATTAATATTACGATAATAAATATGTTCAAGAAATTTGCATCCCTGAACATCAATTTGGTTCTTTTGTAGTAAGGTGTTTAAGATGGGGAAAGTTCTAGTCCAGCAGGCGTTAAGGTAGTAAGCCAAAATGTAAAGACCTTTATTTAATGAATTTTGGCGTTGCACCCTTCATCAGAAACTAAAAATGTTAATGTTATTATTCGATACTACGGATTACAAGTACTTACAATTTATTATATTGGTCTAAAATGATACAAAATTAGCTTTTTTTACATAGGTTCAGAATTAGAAATGTTTCAAATATAAAATAGTTTTTATAAGTTTACTTATTTAAAATATTTAAATAGGTACCTATTTAAAATGGATTCATTTGAAATAATTACCCCAGCTCTGTCAAAAACACACAGCATTTGGTCCGGTCGCTCTGTCATTTATGAATCGAATTTCATGAAATTGAAACGCTATAGCCAATACCATATCAAATTTAATGTCATCACTTTGGCACTGTTGATTATGTATCCTCAGGGTGGCTTAACTCGTGCATGTTGTAGTGTTAGCTACAGTGACTTTGTAAGGACAGTGGCGACAACTTATCATAATCCGCCATATTGGAGCTAAAAAATTGATTGTAGGATCAATATACCTTGTCATGTCAAATTGTGAACCGTAGAATAATAAATGCCATTTTGATTTAAGTAAAGATTCTCGTTCAAAACTAACGGCGCAGAACTGATCGTTTAAAGCTTTGCAGAACAACCTATGGGAAAACCACTGCCTCCCAAATTCAAAAAGATATATGGAAAACGGAAAAAAGAGAGCAATATTCCTTGTGCTACAGCAATCATCAATGTTAAACATTAAACCAATTCAAGCGTATTTATGATCACAATTGCGTTATCCATAATCATAATTGAATTTGCTGCTAAATTTCGGATAAGCTGCTTCTCTAACCAGTTGTCTATCTAAACTCATTAGGTATTTAGGGCTTGTGAAAAAATTTTTACATCAATTACCAGTAGTAAGGTTAGGCACAGTTTTACCTCTAAAAACACTTTAAGCGAATTACATACCTTATAATGTAAATCCAAGCTATACAGGGTGTTTTTTTGGGAGCTTTAGTTAAAAGTTTCTGGGAAAGTAAAATAGGTAGGATTTTGAAAATTTGTACTTAGGTGTTACTCTGAAGGCCGAATCGATGTAAAATATTTTCAAAATGGCCGCACTTCCGGAAACACCGGAAGTAGATAGTAACTTCGTTATTTTAAATGGCAACCCCTATTTTTTTATTGCATTTTTGGATTCTACGTGAAATTTCAGTTCTTTTGATACCCATATGTCATATCTGCCATTTATGGTTTTTAAGTTATTTTGACTTTAAGAAAAAAAAAATGGCGGATGCAGATGGTACCTTGATAATTGATTACTTGAAAAAGGTTATAGTCATGGCAACCCATTTTTATCAGTGCATAGAGAATGAATAGGGCTTTCTTTTAGTGTACTTAAAAAAAAGTTAAGTTGCGTACAACCGCACCTATGGAGATCCAAATTTAAGAAACTTCAAAGTCTATAAACTCAGTTTTTTAAATGGAATGACCATGTTCTTAATATTGCATGAGATAGAGAATCGAAATTGGCATATTTTGATATTACATGTTCCTATAGCTATCTTTAACAGTTTCTGATTTATTCCCATTTCATTGAATTGATCTCGGAATTGATGCCATTTTTTTTCGCATTTTCTTTTTAGTAGTTGGCCATGATTTTATAACAATCGAATTTTAAACAAATCAAGGAATGGATTCTTTAATACCATTGATTCTAGTTCTAGTCTAAATAATTCATTAATAAATAACTCATTTAATAAGGATATAGGACAGAAAATTTTTGAAAAATCTAAACAGAGTCGTTCAACTGAATTTCTTAAACAACGTATAAGTCTGGAAATTAAGAGAGGTAATGCGATATCTGTTCTAGCAACAATTCCATACCAAAAATGTTTCAACAAAGTTTTTTATATTTTGCATTGAATTTATTTTCTTAATCTTGCATTTGCAATTCAATTCATTTTCTTAAATATTCTCTTGTAGAGCTTTGTATAACTTGTGCTTCAACGGTTTGTAGTGCATTAGGGGTACAAAATTTCCAAAAATTCATACAATTTCGTTCCAGTTTTCGAATGAATGTACGGAAAGCACGCGCCGCGATTCTGCCCATTTCACCATAAATAACAATTAAATTCCAAAATAGGTGAAACCACTGCGAGTCATTTTTCGATTTTTGAAAAACTTATGTTAACCTATAACAGTGGGTGATGGATTAGTGTCACTAGATTTGTTTAAAATTCAATTGTTATAGAATCATGGCCGACTACTAAAAAGAAAATCCTAAAAAAATAGTGTCAATTCAATAAAATGGGAATAAGTCAGAAACTGTTAAAGATAGCTATAGGAACATGTATTGTCAAAATATGCCCATTTCGATTCTCTATCTCATGGAATAGTAAGAACATGGTCATTCCATTAAAAAAAAACTGAGTTTTTAGTCTTTGAAGTTTCATAAATTTGGATATCCATAGGGGCGGTCGTACGCAACTTAACTTTTTTTTAAGTGCACTAAAAGAAAGCCATATTCATTCTCTATGCACTGATAAAAATAGGTTGCCATGACTACAACCGTTTGCAAGTAATCAATTATCAAGGTACCATCTGCATCCGCCATTTTTTTTCTTAAAGTCAAAATAACTTAAAAACCATAAATGGCAGATATCGACATATTGGTATCAAAAGAATTAAAATTTCACGTAGAATCCAAAAATCCAATAAAAAAATAGGGGTTTCCATTTAAAATAACGAAGTTACTATCTACTTCCGGTGTTTCTGGAAGTGCGGCCATTTTGAAAATATTTTACATCGATTCGGCCTTCAGAGTAACTCCTAAGTACAAATTTTCAAAAACCTACCTATTTTACTTTCCCAGAAACTTTTAACTAAAGCTCCCAAAAAAACACCCTGTATGCTCGGATATATGCGTCTTTAAGAAACGAGTTTATATACAACTGGAGACGGAAAACGTAAAATAAAGCAAATACAAGAAGCAAAGTATAAACTAGTAACACAGCATGAAAACTCACTAGCGCGGGAAAATTTTGCGCAACTAATCGCGCATCCTGCCATCTTGGTATAGATTTATCATGGGCGTAGTCAATTTGTTGTTTGCGCGATTCATTATTTCGTTCCTAGCAGTGGCGTAGTAATCTTTGTATATGAATCTGTGTGGTGCTGGTGTGCTAATTATGTTCGTTACATTTGTGGATACTTAATGCAAAAAGCATTAGGAAAACACTCTTGCTACATATGTACGCAGTATGCAAAAGCATATGAAAACCTGGACGACACCTCTTTGTATTGCTACTTTAAGGCATATGACAATGAAAACGTAGACCAGGCCACTTTCGGCAGTTTGAAAATGCCGCATGACAATTTTGTGAGTCTAATTGCATTAGTAGAAGTAATTTTCCAAAAAAGATTTGAAGAGTGTATATTATCCAATAATGTTGTACATAATTTTATTTACATACTTTCCACCTCTCCACAAGTGAAATATTCACACCCTTGCAAACACTTTCCATTGCAATATGTTTTAAAACTTTACATTCGGACCCGATTGTTTTATACACTAAAAATTATAAATAGGAATTTTAAAACAAATAACACTCAAAAACTTATTATCTGGCGCCACCAATAAAGTTTATTCTATCTCACATTGTTCTTTTTCTACCTTAAAAAAACAGTGCATCAATATACAAATCTACTACTTGATACGGTCCTGTTGATACCTATACCAAGCACTTGCAGATGTGTTCCACACTGACTCCCTGTACTGCGCAAACGCAAGCGCGCTAAAATTTGAATTTGCTTTAACGTGCCACCGTTTGTTTTGTTTATAATACCAGTTCCTGCTGACCAAATGTCCATTATAGCGCCAACTTGAAAGCAAACCTCTACTTTAGCTATCAGTCATGATCCTTGTAGTCTGGTTTACTGTGATTCGTTCAGCACCGGACTCTCTCTTTACCATAGGTCAATGTTGGTCTGTAACGTTATTGCTGTAAGTAAATGTCATTAACTCTTTCTAATTAACTATTACGGTACTTACCGAAGCAGTTTCCTAATCTCGCCTTTGGCATATTCTATGACCATGCACTCCAAATGTAGATAACAACAAAATTCATTTTGATAACATGGCATTTTCATATACCTACTACATACAGGGTGACAATTTGAAAACTTACCACCCCCCATATCTTATTAAATAAACGAGATATTTAAAAAAATCAAAATCCGTTTCGGTAATTCGGAGGGAGAATCACAATGACATAGTTGGCGACGCACCCCCTCCAACCCCCTGCGCCCCAGCCACCCCAACTTTTAAATCTTAAATAGTGACCCCCCATGTGTGATACGTCGTTGGAAAGCTCTGAAAAAATGCTTTCCAACCATACCAAATAGCATTACACTTAGGTTAGTAATTATCGTGCAAAACAGTTAGAGGTACGACTTTTATCCTTAGGGCCTTTTTTGTAGGTAATATAAGTAGCTGTAAATAGCCGCTTCAAGCAGTGCTCTAACTATTACCGTCTTTAAGTTATAAACGATAAAGTGAATCGCCACGCGCGCGACTTTGCCCCCTCCCCCTCATGTGATGCCCACCGCGGAAATGCGACGACATCGATTTTTTTCATCTACTATATGCTCCCAACAATAATCAAATGTCAAACTGCGTTAGACTTCCAGTGCATGCTCAAACCCTTTAGCGCCCGGCCTATTAAATGTCCTTTAG